AGGTCATGCATACATTAGGAATTTTTTTTTCCTGGACATGAAGAAAACTTTTATTTCTGAAAGGGTTGTCAGGCATTGGAACAGGCTGCCCAGAGAGGTGCTTGAGTCACCATCCCTGGATGTGTTTAAAAGTCATCTAGATGTGGTGCTTGGGAATATGGTTTTAGCGGTTTAGGTAGAGTAGGGTTAAAGGTTGCAGTTGATGATCTTAAAGGTTTTTTCTAACCTAGATGATCCTATGATTCTATATTCCATAATTCATGTAGAATAATTGCAAATCTTAGTACCAGCCAATTTTATGGCACAGAGTCAAGGAAATTTTAGCTACTTTTGCTTCAGTATCTGGGATCAAGTGACCCAGATTGACTGGTCATGTAGCACATAAATGAGAAAACTCTCAACAAAATCTCAGTGAAACAACAGAACCACTTTTTAAAAGAGTTTTGTGTGAGGCTACAACTGGTCTATAGTTCACTTTAATGCTCAGCAAGAAACACCTTGGAGATAATGGAGGGAAATAAGATAAATGCTCAAGTAAGGCAGCTTCTTTGCTTGAGTATAATTTTGTATAATTTAGCTTGAGTAAGATTTGGATACTCTTTACTGCTGTAATGAAAACTGTCTGCTAGGCAGCCTTCACTTACTACTTTTGCAATCAAAGAAATGAAAACAAGATTTTTAGTCTGACAGAAATACCAGGGGTCCTGCCCAACTTATAAAATAACAACAAACAACCTTCCTGATTTTCATCATCCTTACTAAACACTAGAAAACTGCTGGGACAAAGTACTAAAAGGGATGTCAAAGTGTAACACTTTAAATAGCCCTGAATGCTTTCCTCCTCAGAAAATAAATACAAAACTAAGAGAACACGACACTGTCCAAGTCATCTGTTACCAAAGGCAATCCTTAGCATCTTACAGTTATCACGGATTTCAGTGGAAGATTCAAGTTTCTACAAAATAGATTAATGAAGTCATAAACTTTAATACCAGAAAGGGCCATTACTGTAATCTAGTTGGATGTCTTTAAATTCTGAGAGAATGTCAGTAAATTTTGCTTGCATGGAGCCTATAACTTAAAGTTGAGCTAACACATATCCATAGGAAGGCTTTCAGTCTTGATTTGAAGACTTGTGTTGCAGTGAACCTATCACATCCCAGATAAAGCGCTTCACAGTTAGTTACTTCAGATGTCAGTTCTTTTTTTTTTTTTTCCCCCCCCACCATTTCAGCTTCTAGCATTATATTTCATTATGACCTTATCTGTTAAACCACACTTTTCTACCCAGGAATTATGATTAGCATGCAGTAAGGCTCTATTTAATTGTTTCGTTACAAGAGAGTCAGAGGAAAATGACACAGAACTTGTGGGGGGAAAAATGCACATTCACACTCCTGATACACACAGTCCGTATTTGCTGGCAGGTCAAGAGGTCCCCAAGGAGCCAGGGACCCTGGGGCGAGAAGGTAAGGAGGCACAGTACCCGGAGCAGGCAATGCAGGATGGAGTGTCAGGGCCCTTGGCATACAGGGAGAGCAGGCAGTACCCTTGCAGCTCTAGCAATCCTGCATAGACATCATGGTTGCAGAGCCCCGTGAAGATGCTTTCCCCCCATTCAGATTTTTTTCCTTTTACAAGACATGCTCTAGACAGTCAGCAGTCTTTGGCCTCCACCCCCTAAGCCATACACGTACCTTGGGATACTGGACAGTGTCACTTTCTCAGGTCTCAGCTAAGGCCTGCTCCTCTTGCTTGGCTGTGTTTCTCTTGCTCAGCTGCTGCACTCCTTTGCCATGCTCAAAGAACTTGTCTTCATAAGTTGCTATGCTGTGTTTTTGTCGACCACTAACTTTTAAAAATAATGTTGGGTCCTCTGTTTTCACCAATACTTTTGAGGCTTTTGCTGTTAAACTCCTGTTTGTAACAGCTGTCAGGCACAAAGCTCCAGCTCTCTGGGCAGGTTCTCACCACAGGTTGACCGCAGGCCTCACGGGCCAGCCCTGAGGCCTTGGGAAGCTGACACTGGGCCTGCAGCCAGCTGCTAGCAAGGGCAGTGCTCTTCTTAATAGCTTTCATTTATTCTAGGTTCCAGGAAATTAATACTTTGCTGGCTGTGCAGCGTGATCTCCGCAGCATTTATTGTACTGCTGTTCTCTAAAATGTGCTCCCTGATATTTAGTGCACCCCAAAAGCCCCATCCCTCTGTAACTTTGAGTTCAAGTGTATTAAGTTATGCCTTGTTCAAATGAGACCAATGCACGGTAAGAACACTTTAATCAACCTACCTTCATCACCACTTAGCACTTCACCCTCGGTCACCCTCGGTATTTATTTATTTGGACATTGGCACTTATTCTACGTTCTCTTTTGGATTACTGCTAAAGATACGGCACAAGTCTGGACTAAACCTTGAAGATCACCTGGTTCCCACCTCCCTGCGTGGACAGGGACACCTCCCACCCGACCAGGCCGCTGGAAGTTCTGTCCAGCCTGGCCTGGAACGCTCCGAGGGGGGGGCCTCCACAGCCTCCCTTCAGCTAAACGTGCCCTGGTTTCTCAGCGAAGAGCCGCCCACACGAGTGGCTGGGCAGGAGTGACGGGCCCGCAGCTCGGCCAGGGGACATCACCCCCCGCCCGCGGCCCTTCCCGCCCCGGCCGCTC